TGCGTTCAAGTGTATGGTAAGGTTAGATTAATCGGAAACAATTTTTTTTTCCGATATTTAACTAGTGTAAATGTCTGCTCACAAAAAATAAGTGCTACCGAAAGCATAGTAATCATTTTTTTTTAGCAACATTTTTGATACCTTTAAAATCTATTTAGGAAAAATTTGAATAAAATATTTTTAATTCATTACTTTCTTTTAAAGCAATTTAAACAAACCGTTATTTTGGAATTATATGATTTCCCTTTGAAAATTAGACTCAACGTCGTCATTGTCAACAGATAAAAGGTTTTGAAATAAAACAACGAAAAAACATATTTATCAAAACAGAATTTAAAGTGTACAAACATTTTTTTTAGATTTACAATAGGTATTGAACCCTATAAAACGCGTTGGCGTTATACATTTTGCCACAGCGTATAGAAGTGGCGAAAAAGGAACTATATAGAATAAACCGTAATAATAAAAATAAACTTCAAATAGTTATAATTTTAGAACTTTATTGACGATGGAATTTTTAACATAAGTTGCCATTTGAAAATCAAAAGTTAGTAGTTGTTTTACTTCCAAAAATAAGTTTGACAAAAAATAACATAAATATAGAACTGTAGAGCTGCTTGTTTCTTAAATTTTGTACGAAATAAAGTCAAACAAGTTAATACTTTTCGAGATAGTGAGTTTACTCATTTAAATGGAACACTCTGTATATTAATTACTCTCTGTTCTTATAACACTGTCATCATTATTCTTGTATGTCTAATTGGGTCATTTTGATCCGTTCAATAAATAAATAATAATACTTGTACATTTCAAAATCATGTAATGTACTTCAGAGTTAGGGGTCACTGGGGAAAAAAAAAAAAACAATCAACAATTCAACAATTTTTTAAAGAAAAAGTATACAGTATATAGATAATAAATATACTTACATAAACAATGTATACAATATACATAAACAAGAATTGTATATAATGTTTCCAAAATACAGTCAAGTATGCATACATACAGCACTATTCAAACGTCTCCCGTCCTACCGGAACGATGTTCCACTACTCTCTCCTATTATTACTATATTATTATTATTACGATTATCTCGTCAACGTTTGATGAAAATAAAAATTTCATACCGAATGCATTTAAAATTTTAAACTAATACTCTATATTTCTTTTTCTTTTATGGATTTTAAATGTAGGTTGTAATTTGAAAATCAAAAGTAGGTAATGGTTTCACTTCGGGTTTCAGCCCCCTTCCCCCTAAAAAAGAAAAATAATGATGACAAAAATAAAATCAATGTGTAATTTTAGAGCGGTTTGTATCTTAAATGTGTAGATGAGTATTTTAAATTGCTATAAAGCAAATTCTGAAAAAAAATTATACTTTCCAAGATAATAAATGTCTTATATTATGTTGATTACTGTATCTTCAATATTTTTATTACCTACCATTTATACTATTAAACCAAGATATGTATCAGCAAATATAAAAAAAAGATAACATAATATATTTAAATAATAACCACAGTAATACCATATTAGTACCCATGAATGTTTTTGCAGGTCACCGTTAAAACTACAATAATAGTGTTAGGTATAATATTATTTTGAGCAGTATACTATAGAAGAAGAATGTTGAAGATAAGATAGATGGACAATTTTTTTTTATTCAGTTTATTGGGTATTTAACCAATAAAGAAGTACCTAATTGACAGAATACTTAGAAGAAAAGTTATTATGAATGAATAAAGTAAGAAGACGAAATGAATTGATCAGATATTCAATACGACATGAGGGATTGTTATAAGGGGGGGGGGGCGTAAAAAGTAAGAATTATAGAGGAAGACGAAGACTGGAATATACATAGAAATTAATAAAGAGCTAAGGATGCGACTCATATTTACAAATGAAAAAGAAAGTAGATAATAGAGCAGCGTGGAAGATGACTGCCAACGGAAACCAAAAAAACTATTTATAGAGAATGCTAAAATTGCCTAATATAAACACTTGGTAAAAATTTCATGTATCTAAGAATATTCATTTTTGAATAACAATAAAATAAAAAAAATAATAAATAATACAAATAATTGATCTCCCAAAAGTACCAGCTGCATGGATTCATATTTTTACTAGAATTAATAATGTTGAAGTTGTAAATAAAATCATTTTTCTAATATAAATCGTGTACTCATACACACACACACACAAATAAAAACATACATCATTATAAGATCGCTACGCTCAGAATCTAAACTCACATATGTAATCATTTAAAAGACTTAATTAAAAATACATATTATTTTGACAGGCATTGGTGCTGTGTTACAGTAATCTGTAGGTATTATACCAGTGCCTGCAAATAGTACTTTCGCTGAGACAATATGAATATTCGCTTAGCACTCGTCTCGACATATGTACAAGTAGTATTTGAGATTTAGAAGGGGGGTTGAAGTCTGGAATCTCAGAATTTGTAGAAGTAATAACCACCTAAAAATTGTTTTCGCTTTTTTCCGTTTCAGATGTAAACACATATACAGTTACAGGTCGTAACATTTGTTTGCCTATTTGGAAACCCTTAGAAAGTTTAAACCAGGTTTTATAATATTTTATTGATACGTCATACTACTTGATGGCGTAAGTGTCACTTGAAATTTGGATTCCAGGAGTATACGATCCGCAATAATACGATTTGTGTGTTCATATTTTCTGGATTCCTACAGTCCGGAACCATACAGTTCAACTATCTACAATTTCGGAATTCCACGGTCCGTGAGATTAATTTCCGAGATTATACATGCGTCCCTTTGTTGAAACACGAAATTTACAGAAAACTGTTATTGATAGGCAAGGTTTATAGAATAAACCTTGATTGATAGACCTACTTATCAGTAATTTATGATACGGTCATATGGAGTACTGCATAAAGGAAAATCAGAATTATTGTCGTAAATCGTAATACTCTTCTTAAGTATAAACTACAATTGTTTCATGTTCGACGTATAGGATATAGCCAATTTATACAATACAACCATAATGAATAATAAAAGAAATTTGAAGAAATTATAGTGCGAGAAAAAAAATCTCTCCAATATACAATAATGCCTATGAAATTTTGGGTATATTACATATTAATAATATTAACTATTCATTATAAGTACCTACTATAATATTATAATTCATTCAACATATTATTAAAATAACGGTTATTTTTACTATCTGGTAATCAGGTAATATAATATTTATATTATCTTATCAATAGAAATTCGATAAACTGAAACAGGCATCGTCTTGAATAGCTCTTGCGTCAGTTTTGTATTGGTGCGTAAACTGCGTGCCGAATGGAACACGTTTTCATTATTTGGTGTGCGCTAAGTGCAATATTTTGAGTAGATAGAAAACGTTATAAGATTTTTTTACGATTACTGCACCTTGGTATGTTTTAAAACAAATTGCACTAAAACCATAACCAGAAACCATACGCATTCCTCGTAATTGGACATGGACTAGTTGCCCTCAAAAACGGACAAACTAAGAATGCTTGTGGCCGTATGCTGTCCGTAGTCTGTAGCCCATATATTATGAAAAATATTCATCCCTATGGCTCTATTATTAGCTTTAAACTAGTCCCTAATTTGGTAGTGTAAAACTATTCCATTATTTTCGCCATTCCTCAAATCTATTTAAACCTGACATAGACACAGTTTTTGCTGTTTTGACTGAAAAACAGCGTACATTTCGCTAATTTTTACAAAAATAAAATTGTGAATTTAATTAAATATTAAATAATTTGTAGTTGTATTATTTTTATTTTAGTCTATACTCTGTAGGTATCGCGGATAACCTCGAGTTATTTTTTTTTTAACCCAGAGGTTAGTCTACAACTACAATTCGTCATTTCTATATCGATATAAAGAGAGAGCACCTCAAGTCTGATTCGACAGTGATTTGTGTATTTTGTTTTTATAATGATGTAATTATGAACGACTCAGTGGCACGAATTTTACGTAGATTACGATTATTATTTATTATTATATTAGGTTTAGTGATACGCGGTAACTGGTCGTTATTAATGTTTCGCTTTTCCTTCGTTCATATAAAATTTACCTTTTAAATGTAAATGCTCACGCTCTCCAGGATGAAAAATATTAAATTTAAGTAAATATAAATATTTATACTTTTATACTTTTGGCATGAATAATTTGGCAAATAATTGTTTACCTTTTAAGTTAGATAATGTCTTTATTCCTTTGTGAGAATATACGTTCATGCATTTCTGGTATTTGTGAATCAGTATTTATTCTTACATATTGTACAATAAAAGCAATTTGTTTATGATGAAATAAGTCAATTGCCGAATTAATCGATATAATTTCAAATTATATTGAATAGATGACTTAATATATCAGTTACAGTGAAAGACGCATATGCGGTAAAATACGTTATTTCCCGGGAATTACGTCATTCTCATAAAAATTGGTAAATGTTGTAATTGTAGTAATTCCCTGATTATTGACGTCAATTACCAGTTGGGTTGGAGAATATTAATAATAATTGATCTCTGTTGTGAAAACAGCTAATATACAAAAAAGAGTGAGACAATGCTGACCACTGTCCCCCTTTTTATTCAATATCTATGTTGAGCAAGCCGCAGAAGAAATAAATTCAAACTACACTTGGCGTCACAAAAATCGCACATCTTTAAAATTAAGTTTCAAACGGGCATTTCCCCGAACCAAAACATTTAATCCAAACAATAAAGATATAAATTGAAAGTACAGTTAATGACCTCTTATCCGATAGTAGTTTCATTTCATAAACAATAATCATATTCGGAGTATACGGTGCATTAGGAAAATGTATAAATATACTCCTATCTTATCTTATATTCTTTGGCTATAGAAAAATCAGTTTAAAGTGTCAAATGCAGGTCATTCACTTCCTAAACATTGAAAAGGACGTACGTGAATACTCTTTAAACAATATTATTTCAAAAAATAACGTATTAAATGGATACAACTGCTAACGAAGCCGCTCAAGTGGTAGCATTAATGGAATCAGGGATGCGTCAATGTGATGTTGCACGGCAACTAAACTTGAGCCGTTTTGCCGTTCGACGAGTTTTCCAACGTTATCAAGAGACTGGTGGCTTTATCCGGAGGCATGGATCAGGCCGACAACGCTGCACAACGGACAGAGATGATCGTTTTATTGTCTCGACGTCTTTGCGCAATCGATTTTCCAATGCTGTAGAGCTTCAACAGCAACTCCGCGCAGCTCGCAGTACAACAGTAAGCACCTCTACGGTTAGGAGAAGGTTAGGAGAACAAAAAATTGTGGCCCGCAGACCTGCTACCGGTCCGAAACTGACTGCACAGCACCGCAAAGAACAGTTACATTTTGCCCGTGAACATTTTAATTGGACGCTTGACCAATGGAAGACTGTGCTCTTTNGAGGAGACAGTGGAGTATGGAGGTGGATCATGCATGTTCTGGGGCGGCATTTCCATCGATAGCAAGACCGAGCTTGTGTGCGTTTCCCGAACTGGTGGCGCTCGAGGACAAGGATCGCTAACTTCTGATCGATACATTACAGAGATCTTAGAAGAGCATGTGGTACCATATGCGGGTTTTGTTGGAGATGGGTTTATACTAATGCACGACAATGCTCGTTCCCACACCGCATTAATTGTAAAAAATTATACGGAAGAGGTTGGGATCCCTGTTATGAACTGGCCAGCGAGAAGTCCAGACCTAAACCCAATTGAGCACCTCTGGGACGAATTAAAACGAAGAGTGCGGTCACATGATCCTGCCCCAACAACCCTCCAAGATCTTCAATATGCTGTTGTTGCGGAATGGGTGAACATTCCTCAAGAACGCATCGTACGACTCATAACTTCTATGAAAGATCGTATGGAAGCAGTAATTAAGGCAAGAGGAAGTAGCACTAGATTTTAAATAACATTTAGTAACAGTTTTTTATTTTTATATGAAGTCTATTGTCTGTTTCTGTTTGTAAAACTGTATATCCTCAATACAATTTGTTTTCCTCTTCCACGATTAACTTATTTTTTAAAACACTGATAAACAAAAACACATACCATTTATTTATTTTTCAAGTTTATTTCATCACCTTTCAAATGATATATCATAACAGTACCCTTATATATGATTAAGTGTAGTTAAAATTACTTTGAAAAATAATTTGCAATAGGTGCGATTTTTGTGACGCCAAGTGTAGAAGAGAAAAGGATAGGAAGAGTAGTAATAGGAGAAATCCTAGTATCCGTGATACGATTCGCAGACGATATAGTTAATATATATAATATACGATATAGTTATAGCTCGCTTAATCTAATGACAATCTGGAAACTGCGCTTACTGAAATGACTGATATATTTTTAACATTCGAATTAAATATAAATACGACAAAAACAAAAGTAGTATAGTATGCAGCGAACAAACTAAACCAAACATTAATGTATCCCTTAAAGGAAAGTTTAAATATTTAAGAAGCATAACAAGCAACGATGGAAGATAGGAAAATTAAATAAGAAGCAGAATAGGTTAAGCAAAGAAGGCATTTCTACTTAAGAATAGTCAAATAATTAAAGATGAAAAAGTCGGTTCATACAAACAACTCAAGGACAAGGTATACGCAAGAGATTCTTGAAGAGATCATTTATTGTGTACCAATCTGCAGATTGAATAATCAAAAAAAAAAAAAAAAATTGAATAAAAAAAAAGCTTTTATAAACCTATAATCATCATTATGATTCAATAAACTTGGTAAATGATGTCATTTACTTGTGAAAGATGTATATTTGAGTTTAAAATGCACTTTTTTACAACATATACCTATATAATTAAATCATTTTGGTAAATGACGTCATTGACTGGGAAATGATATCATTTACCAATTTACGTCTTTCATTGTAACACATCCATCAATACAGTCTAATAATTTATTTGGTATTCTCGAGATATACAATTTAATTTACTTTAGATTAGATATAATGCGAGTCTATAGACGTATAGAATAATAATAATTTTATTTTTTAAAATATTTATTTGTGAGAGTTCTCGGCCTCTCGTCACGATTACCGTCAGGTGAAATTTTTACCGGGTTCCTGTGAAGTCTCAGCACGTTGCTTATCACATAACCGGAATAGATAAAACGTTAAAAATGTATGACCTCCTCCTTTTTTGGTTTGTTTATCCTATTGAAACGTTAATATAACTCTATAATAATCAACACACTTTTTCACTTCCTACTTTACAACTGTAATTTCGTAATGCACTAATAGTGTTGTACTGCACAACATTTTAGGCCCTGTTTTAGGTGTGTATAAGAGTTGTACAAGTTACTCGCGCAGAAAATCAATTTCATCAAAATAACGGTTTTAATTGTTTATTTTGATTACCATGTACACACTTAATTATTTTAACATTTTTAGTGTTTTTGTAGAGGTGATTTATAAATTCGGTGTTATTTTTTCTTCGGAAGTGTTTTTCGATCAGACACTGCAACGATAAGTAACTAGAGTCTACACGTATGTATTGTACTATTGTGTATACGGAGTGCCGAGCAAATATATAAAATGGGGCCGAAGATCGTACACGTTAAAGACCGAAAATAAACCTATGACATAACGATAGTAATATTAATATTTATTATGTTATCGGTATGTGTTTACATGTATCACTGAAATATGATCCTATTATTGGTCCTTTACAAGTTTTAATCGTATAAATGTTATTCAAGTCCTTATAAAGACCTGAACAAATAAAAGGAAATGCAATATTTTAAAGCTGTTTGTGTCAATAATTTTTTAAAAAAGTTAAGACTTTTAACATGTAACAGCCGTTTTAAATTCTACTAATCCGTGTGAAAACCGATGTTATCGCGTAACGCGGTTAGGTTATTTCCTAAATGAACGAATTTTTAAATATATTTTAGTGATTCAAATATTTTTTATCAATTTTTTGATAAAAAGTATTTAATAGCCATAAGTATTTGTACATGGAATCGTGTAACAATATTTCGTACGGAGTTTTTCTTGTAACATAACGTTTATAGACGGGGAACTCATTTTTGAGCGGTGAATATTCCTAATTAATATAATATACATCCGATAATATAATATATTTTAACTTGTCATTACTGTACAATGTGTCACGCATATGCCAGTTTTTGGAAGAAAATTGACGCATCGGTGGAGTGAATTTTTCCACATTAGAACATTTTTCATAAAATCTATTTGTATCTCCAAAAATATTTGATGGAGTTTTTGAATTTTTTTGTCAATATCTGATAATTTAAAAAATATGTTCGTACCAACTAACAATATTTCACAGTTGCCCAAGAAATCTTTTATCAAACTTATCATTTCTTTTCCAAATTGTACAAGATAACTATTTTAATTAACAAAATTATTTCCGTTACTATACGACGCCGTACAACCGACCAATATTTGATGTAGATTACTTACGAATAAGAAGAATCCTGCCGTCCATTTTGGAGGTTAGTAATTTATATAGAATATAATTTACGTCATTTGCATGATTCTATTGTAGGCCGATTCCGTGGGAGTCTCAACCGATCCCAATAAACTTTTAAACGTAGCGTATTCATCATTTCCATGATTTATTTCAAAATGTGTAATGAGTGTCATGTATTTGAAAACAAGCAAAGTTTGTGGACATTAATAACAAATTGAATACACGTATTGTTTCTTGAGTTCTTTTGCATACCTTTCCCGTATTGTATCTACATGGTTTAATATTTTGGAAACTCTCTTCCATATTGTTTACTGATTTAAATTTCGTAACTACATAATCCGAAAGTTCTTGAATGCCTACTTTTAATTCATTTTGGTTGACAATCAGTCCCGTTTTCAAATTCTTGTTACGAATCTTTAGTTTGTTCAATTCCGCCAATTTCGCTGGTTTTTCACTAAATACAAATGACGCACATAATGCAAATACGCCTATACCTCGAAAATAAATCATTTTTTTGGATTTTTATAATAATATTTAAAATAGCGCATTCGTATGTTGAATTATTTCACGTGAATTTTATTAATGAACGTTGTTACGAGTTTAAAATGATTTGCTAAATTATTTATATCAGTATTACATAATAATACCATCTATTGTTGGTTTAACGGGGCTTGTTGACATAATTAGTATTTTTAAGTTAAAATTGTAATATTACGTAATGCTTAATGTGATCTCATTCCAGGTATAAAATGTATGACATAATTTTTGTACCTATAGTAAATAATTAAATAGATTCAATTTATTGACCACTGTTATGGACTCTTAATTTAAATTCAAACATCAAGTATGTCAAATTTAAATTTTAGCAATGGTCTTAAGCGATATAATATTTTTATTTTCGGTTGAAAAAACGAGAATAAACCAAAACAATCAATTTCTACAATCGTACAAAACAGATAATAATAATGTATGGTGTTTTTATTACATACAATTTGTATGCTTGTTTATAATATTGTTATCATTAATTTTATGTTTTCTTATTTCACTAAAAATTATATTCAATTCCCACTTAACACAAATAATTCTTTTCTCTTTTTTAGAAGCTTATAATTAAAATCTCACTAAAATTGTTGATATTCTGTTTGAATTTTTCAACTAGTTGGCAACCAAAAAAGTCAATTTATTGTTTTTCTTTGTAGTTTTTTTAATAATAGAACAAAACCAAAAACGACGTCCTAGGATAATGATGACAGGCACAGCCACTGTTACAGATAGTTTAATGTACACCTGGAAGCAACAATAAACCATAGCTTACGAAAAAACGATTCTGAGCGGAGTTCAGTTGATAGTGGTGCTTTGTCAAATATATATATACGTCATTTTATAGTAAAATAATTAAATAGGTTTTACATATTTTTTTTTTGATAATATTTGTTTAACATTGTACCGATTTTCACAGGTCCCTAAATATAGGGATATTTCTTATATTTTCCGTTTTTTTTTTGGTTTTTCAAATTTGATAAGAAAACTTTTGAGGAAATCAAAAAATGACCTCTCTAAAGTACTTTGCTAGTGAAATTTCATTTCGGAAAAAAAAAATAAATAAACTTCTTTGTAAAACTATAAGCTACTTCGTTCTACTCAGAATATAAAATATGTAGAAAGTACGGATAAATTTACCAAAGTAATTTTAGTATTATAAATTATAATGTACATGTATTTTAAACTTTGTTTTTCTAATGAAATTCAGTTAAAAATATTTCGTATTTTTGAAATTTTGAGAGAAAACTTTGCTTTTCCTAAACGTAGTTCAAAATTATACGATGAAACGTATTGATAGAACTCGTATTACTACGCCACAAGAGTTGGTTAAAAGTTATTGGAGAGATCGTGGAAGAGAAAAATTAAAGAGGGAGACCACGTTCTAAATACATCCAACTTCAATCCAAAGGATGCGTTTCATTATACGAGACTTTTCTAAGGAGGGGGGGTGATCTGGACCCCCACCAAAATTGATATAATTTCAATAAATTGTCGTTTAAATAAGAATCATTTATCAATTGATGTCTTTGAAGTGAAAGAGTCCTCTTTTTCAGGACTCCTCCTAGAAAAATAATGAAAATTTGGGATTGCTCGTATGTACACAAATAAAAAAGAAATCGCACCATATAGAAGAATGAAGGAGTACTGAAAATCTACGGATTGATAACTGTAGAAAGAGAGATAAAGGGAGAGAGAGAGATATATCTTAAATGGATTATGAAAATTTAAATTTAAAAAAACAAAATTATTTTTAAAAACAGTTTCTTAATATTTAATGTTTATATTCAATTTAAAGTTTATAACAGTTATATGGGTGATAAAAATGAAGGTACATGTATTTCAAAAAGAAAATTTTAAAAGAAGTTGATATTTTCCTAGATAATTAGTGTCTTTTACGCTAGATTAATTATTCTGCATAATATATTATAATATTACACTGAAACTTGAAGCACTTTGATGCCTTTTTAAAGTCAAATATATACGCGATTAAAACAGCTTCATATATTATTATGTAGGCTTTTATAATGGCAATTAAAAATTAACGGCGGTCGATCTGCTTATATGTTATTTCGAGTGCGTTTGAAGTAATTTTACGTGACATCGTGATTTTATACTTAGTTTGCCTGTACAGCTGTATTATAATATAACAATATTATCTACATGGTAAATATTACTAAAATTACTTTGTAAAATAGGTTAACGTGTTATTGGTTATTATAATATGATCGATTTTTTTTATATATCTACGTCATATATTTGATTGGTACAGTGACTTTTGTGTCGCAGCTGTCACAAATAGGGATCATTTCCCTGATGACCTTTTGGGAGATTACACTAGAGACCGTTTGACACGATGAAGAAAGATCTAACAAGTATACATTCCACATTCAACATCAGCATGGCATGAAGCAGATGTCTATGTGTATGGCGATATTAACACACCAAAAAGAACGATTTTGAAATAGACAAAGACGACCATTGAGAATATACACGGGGATTTCTCTATTTTGCAGTGAACTCCGATGCAATAGATAATAGTAAATATTACGGCCTTCCAAAACATGAATCACCTAACTTATCACTCCGATTTGTTTTTTATTAGCGAAAGTTTACAATTGGTTACATATATATATTTCCATTATCAGCTGTTTTTTTTAATTTTTATTATAGCTATGTGCTGTTAAAAGCGTTCATTATAATTAATACATATTTTGTACGATACTCGGCGACGAAATATTGGATACGTTATAGTGGTGTAAAAACGAAACTATCTATAAAACGGTCAAGGTAGACGAAACGGAAATTGTTGAACAATTTTTTATCGAAATGACAAATTTAGGAATATTGTTGCGAGGAAACGGAAACAATCATACACGTGATAATCTACGTTACACGATTAATACACATCTACAAAAACATTAGGCTTATCTACATATTATAATAGTAACGGTATTTTACAAGCGACGTTGAGAATTATACGTGTGTCATTGATTTTTCCGTCTGTGAGACGAGGGTCGTAGATTAGATTAGTGTTTGCTAACCTAACCAATCAATGCTAATGCGATCCTTCCTGGTCTAGTAGCGTTTATATGAAGAAGGAAAAATAAAAAAAAGACATCCTAGGATAATGGGAATGGGTGCAGCCACTGTTATAGATAACTTAATGTACATCTCTAAGCAACGATAAACCATTGATTACGAAAAAACAATTCTGAGGGAGTTCAATTGATTGTGATGCTTTGTCAACAATATAAATGTCATTTTATAGTAAAATAATTAATATATATTATATATTTATGAATTTATATATTTTCTTTAATAATATTTGTGTAATGTTGTATCGATTTTATTTCGGTTTTTCACATTTGCTGGAAAAATTCTTGGGAAAATCAAAAAATGACCTTTCTAAAGAATCCAGTGAAATTTCCTTTCAGAAACATTGTTATTAACAAATGTTGAAGCAAAATTGCTAGTAGAAAAGTTGTCCACAGAAAATAAACTCGTAATTTATATTTATTATGTTTTGTAAATTACCCCGTTTTGGTTTTGATTTTTCCCATTTAATGAGAAAACTCTTGAAAAAATTTAAAAAAGACCTCCCTTTAAAGTACCTCTCCACACCGATTTCCTTTAAAAAAAAAAAAATAAAAGCTTCTTTGCTTTACTCAGAATCTAAAATGTGAGAGTTTACAGCGTTTAGGGCTCGGCATTTTATTGTGAACACAAACTACCAAGGGAACTGTAAGAACTGTAGACATTTTCTAAAATATTTTCGATTTATGATCAAACATCTACGCCGTTTAATAAAAATTTCGCAATAAATTAAACTTTTGTAGAGATAAAATGAGCGAATTGGTAAAAAAATCGTGTCATATTAATAACGACATTTTTGAAATAAGAACATTTTTGTACTTGAAAATATTAAAATTCACTTTCAAATAAATTAAAAAGTGTAATTTTCATATTTATTTAAACGATAGATTTGAGTTGAGTTCAATTTTCAAGGAATTTTAGGAGAGAAAAGTTACGGTTTGCCTCCCCTATTGGGCACCAGTAGAAACGTGCGTACTTTAAATTATTCTGTAGTCTCATGAATATGTATTGTAAACTTCATAAATTTGTTAATTCTTTTGGATAATTTACATTGTTTTTAATAATAAATTATTTACTATCAAGTCTCTTTGCATACGGTTGTACATTTTGAAATGCGGTTTTTAATAATTTTACATCCATCCTGACCAATCTAACCATCGTGAACTATTGAGTAGTCAAAAATCTTTTAATCGCACCGCTGGACAGAGACGGAGAACGAGCGTTCGATGTCCTTTTAACGTTACATTTTTCGAATAAAATATAATCTTGTAGCCGATGCGAAGTTAGAACAATATTTTTATTTAGGTCGATTAACGCGGTTTTTCCGACCGAACTACCATTACGCCGTAGCCGTCCGACAGATGGTGACGCCATCGTCTCGCGGCCGGGTCCCGTCGCCGGGCGGCGCGGCGTACGCGGGAGGAGCCGGACTTCTCCCCCCGGGGGCTCAGGGAGTAGACGGGCCGTCGAACGCGCGCGCCAGTGATGCGTGTTGCATACGGCCAACCGGTCGCGGCGCACCGTTTCATCGCGTTTCCGCCGCAACCGCAGCCGGAGGTCCCGCCGTTACCGGTAATCCGTCCGACACGCGACTGTGCATTTTCGCGCGCGAAACCGACTAGACCCGACGACGAATGGTCCGACCGCCGTAATAGCGCACGTGAGTTCCGATCATCGTTATCATTAGAACGAACAAATACACCGCCGAACGATTTTCTTAACTAATTACATATTATAATAATGTTGCAATTTTATGTGACAGCGATGTGACTCAATACGGACGGATTTTTGCGAGAAACGCGACAAGTCAGATTTAAACATAATATTTTGTCCGGTTTACACGTCTCGATTCCGTAGGAAACTGCGCGCCGCGTTTAACGGTTGCGCTTTCAGATAAATATTTGCCGTGAGAATTGTGACAAATCGAAATTTAATTGCGATCAACGCGATATGTCACGTGATTGACAAAAACCTACTAAAATAAAATAATATGTTTTTTTTTTTGTTTTTGTAAAAATGTCTCCTGAAAAATTTGAATTTATCATGTTTCTCACAAAAACCGTCCGCATAAATCCGGATTCTCCGAAAACCCGGATTCACGGACAACCAATCGGATTTCACGATGATATTTTTCGTTTTTTCTTTTTTTTTTTTTTTCAATCAAATACATCAAATAAAAATTTAAATAATAATATAATGTAAATTATATATGTGATTTAGTTATTTAAAAATGTATATAGTAAAATGCATTCAATTTATTTTAAAAAACAATAATTTAGTTATAGGGGCCTCTACACCACTAGCATTTATTAAGGATTACACAATTTTCAATGAAAAAAAATCTTCGGCTGTAAAATATATATTATAAGTAATTTCACTTCAAACACGATTCTATACTTGTTAATAAGACGTTCCAATTTAAGTTTCGGAAATACATTTGAATAATATTATATAGTATCATTCTGTATAATATTATTTAAAAGGCTTATCGCTCGTGACATAATTTCGATATCAGTTTTAAATCAATCGGTTATTTGAAAAAAAAAAAAAAAATACAAATTTAAACTCTTTATTGTATCGTTTTTACAATTATATTAAAAAAAAAAAACGAACTTTGAAAAAATAAATATATTTTACGTATACTTCGATGAAATGTGAAAATTCTACCACGTCTTTTCGCGAAACTATTGCGGTCGGACAAGACGTTTTCGGAGCGTATACGATTAAATTCAGAACGAGTTATTTTCGACCGAAAACACGTAAGAGGCCCTTTAACGTTATTAAAAATGCATTGAAGGATCTGAAATCAGAGTTTCGAAATCCGAAAATCCGTGTTCCCAAACTTCGGTAAATCCGGATTTCCCCATCACTATATATATATAAGTACTACACTATACCTACCTGTACAGGACTGTTCGTTTTCGTTTTTTTTCCCCAGCTTTTTCGTCTCTATTCTGCGTTGCATGCCGCGAGTTTTTGCACGTCATAGGGTTTACGAAAAAAAAAAAAATATTTGTTCGCAATGCTTTTGAACAATATCTATACCAGCGGTGGTCAAACAGGGGGGGGGGGCGAGGATAATATATCCCTTTCCATTGTCATGTTTTTCTTATGTGTTTTTAATAATATACAGTGCGTTTTAACTACGCTCACTTCATTTGCATGGTTGAATCAAGCATAAACTCAAATTTTGATTTTTGGAATCGTTAAGTGAAAAAAAAATCAATATTTTCGAATACTTAAATTTTTTACATCGTTTAAGGAGTATCCTGCGGTGATAACAACTTCTTTCCAGAAGTTTTTCTTGCCAGAACCTATATATTGCACATTTTTATCCGGATGATTTTTCTAAACATTTGACTAATTGCAATTGAAATTTGAAAGAAAAAGGTCTGAGTTGTTCTACATTAAATACTAAAAGACAATAATGAAACTGTACGATTCAAACATGAAACTACCTATACACAACTCCTATAAAACACTTAGTATCTAATCCCTCATAAAAAGCTATTATCTTTAATACTTAAAGCAAAATAATCCAGAAACTTTTTATTCTAATTTCGATTGCGATACGTTAACATTTTCAGAAAAATCATTTGATTTACAATTCGGATGTATTCATGTAGATTTTCGTTGATATTGCTGCAGGGTACTGCTTAAATATTGTGAAAAATCTAATTATATGAAAATAACGTCCTTTATTGCAATTTAAAATTCCAAAAATCAGAATTTATGTATAAATTTACTATACAAATGGGGCGATGATGATTAAAAATCATCCTGTGTATTATATTATATTTGTATAGTTATAAACAAAATGGTGTACATAATATTAACAGTTTTTAAAAATTATTCCTCCCCTCCCCCATGACAAAATCCTTTGACCGCCACTGATCCATACGGCTCGACTCGAGGATATAATGATTATAGTCAACGCACACCACACAAACGCGTAATAATTCGCTTGTTTTATAATATTATCATCGTTCGTGTGCGTCTTATGTTTAAACAACTAAATAACAGTAATAATCGAATACAGCGTGTATAATAATTCCCAACCGTAAATATATAATATGTTTCGCTTCGGGTAACACCTGACGATTTAGACCGCGAATAGACGTAATTGACGTAATAATTATACTTATTTAGCAAAAATCTTACTTGTTTGACTAGGATCATACACGTCATATAATTATAATATATAAAGTATAGTATGTACGTATATGTACATTAAAATTAAGCCGATACTGAAAAAATCCCGCTAAAATATCAACAAACTTTCCATACACCTATCTTATTTTGTTCGTATATGCTCACGCATTGTAAATTAATTGACGGGGGAATTTTTCTATCTTTCCTATTCTCGCCTTCAGTCGGCAAATTCGATAAGCTTGTCCCAATCTACAAAAAACATATAGCAACGAAGCCACTGATGATCGTAATGTTTTCATGTACCAAAACGATTATAAATTATTGTCTTTTTGGTATGTTGTTATAATAATATAGTCGCGCAGATAAAATTATTTATACCCGGAGAAATTCACTGTATAAATTTGAGGCGGCGGGGATTATTATTCTCGAAAGGTTGAAATTGTTTTAAGTAAATTATTGTACTTGTTTAGCCGAATTATTATTATTTAAAGACGGTCCTACTGCTGCTCTTTGCACGTGCAGTGTTTAAAACTTCAACGTTCGCCCCTGTCTTGTAAATAGATTTTTGATTTATAAACGGCATCCTAAGTAGATATATACATATCTGTTACGATAAAACAGTATGTTTATTAATTTAAAATAATTATTCAAATATAATATCGTTTGCTCAGTCGACAAAATTATTTAGATTATCTTTGAAAGTGATTTTTGAAGAATCTCGGGGTATGGGTATTTGTTACTTATAATCTGATACTCGAACAGTAATTTAATGAATATCTAATATTAACACAGTCGTTTCGGGTTAATTGAAAATGAAAGTAAACTATATAAAAGTTAGTGGTTTTACTAATTATTAAAGCCAAATGTTAATTAAATAAATAAAAAAAAAAAACGTTACAAGAATATACAAGAATACCAAGTTATACAAATTTGTGATTTTAGATTCTGAGAAAAGCAAGGAATTTATATTGGTATTACAATGATTTTATCTGGGAATTTCGTTTTTTTTTTTTTTTATGTAATATTCGTAGACTTGAAATTTTGAGAGAAAAATTATATTTGTTTTTTTTAGACGTGGTAAAACTTTAAAACAATTTGAGCTATTTTTAAGCTATTTATACACATTATAATTTTGCGAATTCTTTACTTAATTTTTATTTGGTAGGTACTCTGTGGATAAAATTGTTGTACCAAACAATTTGTGGCCGAAAAAAAAATTGAGTTTAATGTAGAATTTTGTTTATAAGAATTATAGTTTGATACTATACTAATGGTACGAAAATCGTAATTATTACGGCCTTTCAAATCATGTATAACCGAACTCCGCTCAGAATCGTTTTTCGTTAGCAATAATCAACCTTTGCGTACAGATATACATTAAATTCCTCTCTATAGCCTACCATTCCAACTTCTCATCTAAAACAGTGGCCCACTTATCGTACGAAGTATATCCGTCTTTTTTTTTTTTTTTTGAAAATTAAGTTTATCAATGTTTAACGCATTATTTTGATCTTAGGAATATCAAATTATACTAATTTATTCTCGGAACTCCACACATGTTATTAATATTGAGTAGAAAAAAAAAATATTATTATTATTTACACGGTATTTAATCGGCCAAAAGTGGAGTAATAATAATTCAAATTCACCAATAATTATACAAAATGTTCGAATTCCGTCCGTTTCCACATTCGGGTTCAAATCGGTAAAGCTGTTAAAATATTATTATTCTATAAAATAACGAATTTATTTTCGTCTTGAGGAGGTGAAGGGAAACTACTGCGTACTCGATAAAATAAATGAACGAAAAGTACAATTCCAAACTTTTATTGCTCTGCAGTCAGACGCTATAAAATAATAAATGAAATGTTGAGGCGACAAATTAAAGGTATCCACCTGTGCAGTTTAAACGCATACGTACCTACAGTTTTAAATGATTAAAATAGTTTAAAATTCAGAAAGCTAACTAGAAACAGTTATTAATATATGTTTTTTTTTGTAAAACTATTGAATTTCGTGTTGACTTTCGTGATTTTTGCGTTTAAAGTGTAAAAAATGAATAAACGTAGCCGATACATTTATCGTTTTAATTGTGTTTTTACCTATCTATACATACTCTCGCCTAAAGGGACTTTGTATTTTGAAACGATTATTTTTGTATACCTAATTTTTGAATATCACATGAATAATAATATGTGAATAATATGTGGACGGTTGTCATTATAATAGTGTTATTAATTATAACATTATGCATAACACGTAAAAAGAATCCGTTGAAAATTGATAATAAAGTGATTTTTTTTTTTTGTTCGAAATTGTTATTGTTTAAAATATGTTGAGTAGCCGAGTTCTATAAAGATCCGGATACGATTTTGTAGTCAATAATAATAATTATTCGACGGTACCCATACAATTATATACAATAGTGCAATAATATGTAAAAAAAAACAAAAAATTATGAAATAATTAGATATACCTACTAGGTATGCGTAATAATTACGATTAGGTTTTTTTTTGTTACCTTGTAATTATATTTTAAGTCTTAATTACTACCCAGCTACCTAGCTACCAGCTACCTGCGTTCTACAAAAGAAACAATAAAACGTATTTTACTAAAAAAAAAATCAATCTAGGTTTATATACCTAAGTGGCTTAGCGAGTTTTACGGAACAAATAAAAATGAAATATGTTTAGATTTTGAGGTGAGCGAGGAATGTATTAGTTTTACAACGATGTTTATTTTTTATTTTTTTTGTGAACAACGTTTTTACCGGCAATTTTGCTCCGATATTTAAGTGTAGCTCTTTTTCTGAAAGTAAATCTGACTGAGGTATTATTTTAAGCTGGTTATTTTTTGATTTTTTTAGGATTTTTCATAATAAATGGGAAAAACCGAGAAAAAACGTCGAAAACCGGGAAAATTTACAAAATGTATATTTTTAAACCGTAAATTTTTACGGTCTTAAAATATGTATAATATGCTTATGTAATTATTTTACCATAATATGACATAAATATTGTTGACAAGCAACACTATCAACCGAACTCTGTTCAGAATCGTTTTTAGTTAGCAATGATAATTCTTTGGGTACAGATATACATTACATTTCCCCTTTTTTTTTAAATTTTTTTAGCTTACAGATTAAAGTAATTTTAATTAAATTTCCGTTTGATCGTTATATATTAGGCGTATAATAATATTATATCTATTTGTGCTGTTTGTGTTTAATATAATTAAAAAACGTGCATCCAGTTTTAACTATATATGTGTTCGTTATCCCGTCGACGATGACGGGATGAGGGATACTTGCAGTCGAAGGATCATACGCCAGCACACCACGTATATGAAAAGTTGGTGATTTTTGGTAATAATACGCAGTAGTAATACACAACATACCTTTAGTATGCCGGTCATTTGTAAGACCTGCAATGTCACCCGCTATTTATAAGGCATAAGTTATCGAGTTCAAACAAAAAAGAAAAAACCTAAAACGTGTACAATCCCTGAAACCGTATTTTTAGAAACGTATTTTATTGGAAATTTATCTATCGGAAACGCATTTTTTCGTGTACGTATAATATATTGTCGGATTAACGTACATTGTGGGAAAAGTATTTTTTCGAAAACTTATTTTTTTGGAAAATAATTTTGATCATAAACATGTATTTATTATTAATAATTTCAAATATCAGTGATAAGAATATGTGTGCGGTGTAGGTAATAATAAAGACCACAGTATAATATAAAAAGATAATATAATTTTTATCATTTATCATTATCAAAACATTTTGTTTTCGACAAAATACGTCTCCGAAAAAGTATTTTCCATGAAAATACGGTTTCGAGCAATTATTTTCCAACAAAATCCCTGCCCCTGCCTGGAAGTTATTTTGCGTGGAATCAAGTAGTCGGGTAAAAGCTATTAAAAGCTACTAAATTTGTACGATTCTTCTATTATATTGATTTCGTGGGAAGTAAGTATTTTATTGTTTATTGTTTATTTTGCATGACATAATTTAAATAATTAATTTTAGTTAACATAAAACATGTTGTAGATGCATACCTCCTATAAGCTGGGCTTGAGTCAGATGTGTAGTTCATAATAATAAGTTTGTATTAGGTACTAACCATTACTTGATCACAAAAAAGTAATGGAGAAAATTCGAACAAGTAAAATACAACTTAAAGCTCTAAAAACTTAGAATTATATAAAAATAAAGGACATTGCTAAGTGGGAGGCATAGCAAGATAATATCAAAATTGATGATTAATGAATGATTTGTCGTTTTTTGTTTTGTCGAATCATTGTATTATCATCTCGAAAATGTACACATTTAATATCACATCAAATCAATTTTCCATAAACGCAATTCAATAACTGCTCGAAAGCCAATGTGTTTCGTGTATCACGTGACTCATTACATGACGGTTACTAAGTAAGCTCCCACTCTTTGCCAGAACCGCAAACGAGATGACCGTGTGCGGCTGCACAACGTTTCAAAATGCGATTTTCTCGGGAAAAATCAAATTTTAAAAATTATTATTATTGAATATATTTAATATTATATAATATAATCCGTTCAGTATACTTTATAGATTCAAGTAATTTTTCATATCGTTATACTAGTCAAATACGGTTGATATAAACTTAATTAATTAGTGTTATATTCACAATTTTTGAGAATTTTCTAATTTTCTATTTTTAGTTTTAATTATTTAATGAGACTTAATTTTTCGTTTTGTTTTTTCCGAAAAAAAATTAGATTAGATGAAAGTAAATATTCTGAGCTGCAGTACTATGGAGTATCATAATTTAAATATCTTCATACATTTGTTTTACATTTTATATTATAATTGCGTGCTTTGGGCAATCTTAATGTAAGAGCACAATGCACTCGTTGATATGAACGTTCTCGTGAAACCTATTTCACTATCATAGTTTAATGTGTGTAGATAAGATATTTATTTCTAAATAATTTATAATTCATCGAATTACATTTTAATAATACTCATATTTCAATGAATGTAAAAATACCGAATACAATTTTGAAAAAAAAAAAAAAAATGGTTAAATTATCTTTCTTTTAAACAGAAATATTTTTTCTCTCTGGGAAAATCGCATTTTGACACTCTGAGACGTTGAGAAATTCGAAGAGATCGGATAAAAGTGGGGGCCCTCTCGGCAGCTATATACAAGGGCGATGGTGGTGCGTGACGGCGGCACAAATGATCTAAATCGTAAAATTAACTCGCATTAATTGATAACTCCTAAACTTTAACTTTAAACTTTACAGTTTTGATGTTTTTCTGAATTCAAATTTAGTATCAGTTTTTTAATGAAGCCATTATCAAGGGGCGGACGTGAGGGTTATATTTTAATGTCTATACATTTTGTTATTTTTACATAAACTTAATGTATAGTTTTTTTAAAGTTTTAAGTTTAAATTGTGTAAGAGTACTATATAATTACAACAATGGAAATGCATTAAAAAAAATCATTGGAAAATTTCCTTTAACTGAAGAACATAAAAAAAGGTGTGGATTATATACTCACTATAAAGGTAAATAACGGAAAGTGCAAAACAACTATTACAATATTTTAAGCAATTTATTTTTAACGTTTCGTGTTCATCTAAAGTATAAACATAATATGTTTAAATTAATACACACCCGTGTAGTGAACTTCCAAAGTGCAGTATTAAAAAAAAAAAAAAAAATTTGAAATTATCGAGCATATATTCGATATGACATGTAAATCCAACGCGTATAAAATTAATTATTTTCGTCATATTCGATACAATTTGTACGTCGTTTGTAATGTTTGTAATGTCACTGTTATCATAAATGTAGGTCATTTTTCCTTACTTCAGTCAGGAAGTTGGTTATCTCATTTTAATACTGAATTGGGAATTTGTTCGGTTTTTAAAAATGAGTTGATGCAAGCTAAATGTATAACGATTCAGACTACTGTGCGGTAAGGTGTGAAATTGTTCAGTTCAGACCCTCCCAGAAGAAGTTTCATTTCAACCAGTGGCAGGGACTGGAGTGAAGTGACACCAGCCCACTACATAACGCCGCAGATAATATTATTTTTTCTGCAGATTGTCATTATTCATTTTTCGATCATTATTTCATAAATACAACTTGCCGTAGTTTTGAATAACTATAGTTATTCATAACTATGTTAACTCAATATAAAGCTATAAAAAAATAAAATAAGAATATTGAACTAGTTTTTCGGAATTATAGTATAGTTATTCCTGTTATTAGTTACATTTAGTTTGTGTCAAATACCCGAGTTATGACAAAATGAATTCCCGCTTCCAATATCTTTACTGCTCTTAAATAATTTAAATAATCAAACGTAGGTCATTAAATTTATAATTAATTTTAATAATTGTGCCATCCTTGAAAAAAGTTTTATAATTATTATTTTCTTTTGCTTGAAACGAAATTATACGGAAAATTAATTAAAAATTTAAAAACTTGTTCCGTAGATTTTAATAATATTCATAAGTTAAAATTAAAAAAGCTGATACTGCTGATGGGTGTGCCACTGTTTTCGGTGGAAAGTAGGAAAAATAAGATACATAAAGTTATTTATAATTATATACCTGTACTCGTCGATAAATCATTACTGACGAACTATGATTCTGAACGAAGTACGGTTAAACTTTTTTTTCCGTAATTTTTATAATTTTTGTGATCTCAGACGATTATTATTAACAGTTGTCTATTCGATGCACATATATTGGACTGTTTCTTGGAGTTTTTTTTACTATGATAAAATAACCAGAGTAAATATATAATAAATATGTTTGTATTATACTTGAAAATATATTTGTCAATTTTTTTTTGATATTGGTAAGTACACATTTCCGGGACGATCTTTTTACCGGAGTTATAAATATACCACATTTATCTATGTCATCCAATAGTTATTTAAACGTGTTGGAAACTCACTGTAGTAATTTATAAAATAAAAAGTATATATTTTAAACATTTCTGTGACTTAACCAGATTGATGAATATTTAAAAGCTTAAATCGCGGAAATACGTCTGGGAAATATCTACAGCTGCGTCGAGTATTGTTCTATAATAATGTTTAGGTATAGGTTTATTTTAAAATTTCAATAATAATATTGTCAACATTTTCTACAGGTATCCTGTAGAATGCATTGCATTTTAACAAAAACTGATAATTAAAGTAAATAAATGTATACATGAAAATTAAATAAATAAATCAATGAATGCGTCACCTGGAGTTTTATGATAGGTGTATTATACGCCAGGTTTCAAATTTTCAATTTATATATTTATTTACTTTATTTATTTACGAGTATTAACCATTTTAATAATTTTGTTTTCACTTTATTATTTGATCAACTAATAATTATTTTATTTTCTCAATAATATAATATAATCTCTTGGAAAACCAAAATAAGGGTTTTTAGTACCGAATTAACGATCCTAAGACTAACTTTACACATGGCTGTGAATATGTGGATAAAACTCGCCAGATAGAAACCGATTCGAAACTGGAGACGTTCAAAAACGAATATAGAGGAGAATCTTTTTTATGATGAAACGACAAACATTTTTCAAAGGAAATACACGGTAGACTTAACACTTGCAGTGATTAGTTTTAATTAAGAACAAAACCTGCAATGGCTTGGCGGTATAACGATGAGAGTAGAGAGTGATAATGTTAGAGCAGCACCAGAACGGAAGCCTAAGGGATAAGCTTATGACCTCGTGATAGTCTCAGAAAAACGAGGATTGACGTTATCGAAAAGAACCTAAGGGTGCAGGAGAGATAGTTTAAGACGAATATGTTGATAGCCAGTGCCGCAACTAGGGATTTGGGGCACAGGCATAGGTCAATTTTTGGAGCGCCTGTTTCCTATGGAAATGCGTATAAAATGTTTTAGGGACATTTACATAAAATTACAAGGCCTATTTAGAGGTTCAACGCATCCTTAGCACCCGTACTAGTCGTGGCACTGTTGTTAGGATAAAGTTTTGGGGAAAACATTCTTAGGTAAAAGTAAATATAAAAGTCAGGAAAAGAAGAATAAAATAATATAATATTTGTCATGGCACTTAAGTCGTCATAGAGAAACATTTTACAGTAAAATTATCGAACGATTTGTGGTTTTTTTTTTGTTTTACTTATCGAAACTAATAATAACTGTTTTGAAAACAATTTACGATGTAAAATCTTTATGAAATTTGACGTAATAATAGTATTTAATTATTCGATCGTTGTAAATTTGTTCGAGACGTTCACAACTATTTACTTTATTGCGGTTCAAAGTTCTAAGGAAGTTCGCTACTTAACTTTTCCAATTATTTGATGTAAGTAAAGGTGAGTGCATGTAATACGGAATTGTAGATGCGAAATAAATTATAATATTGTTTTAGAATTTACAAAACATACCATACGCGTATCGTTTATACTCGATTGACATTAATAATTATTATAGTTTACGGCGTAAAATTAGTTAACGATTATTGTTACGAAGACGCGTAGATCAGCTTTATTAAGTCTAACGAATCGGAAAGTTTATATCCGAGACAGGAAATTGCAAAAGGGTTTTTAAACAGGCGCAAATGCTCTTTTGATGAGCCGTATAGTATATTGTTTATAGAGTGAATAAATAGGGAGAACAGAACAAGACGATTATTATTATAATTTACCCAATTTTTAGAAATGCTTGGCAAATATTATACTGTTATACGGATATTAATTTAATTAGAAATTTCACGCAGAATGGTTATAATGCCGCGACTCGCGGACAATCGAATTCTACATCGGCGGCGGAGAGAATGACGGTTCGTATAATAGAGTTTGAAAATGCACGACGTTGAAAGAAATCGCAAAAAAAAAAAAAAAAGAGAAAAAAGAAAACCTGCACCTGGAAAAGCTGTTCGCGTGGAAATCAAAATTTATATTTCAAATGGATAGCCTTATGGGGGGCGCCTACGTAAAAATCACGTCCAATCTTGCACATCATATAATTCCCACGCGTTATTGCCGCCATCTTCCTACGCGAAATCGGCGGGTTCGACGGAATAATAAACCGCATAAAATATAATCTGTTAATTTATACCGTCAAACTACTACGACACAGTTTTTGAAACTATAGCACACACTATTAAAGCATTAATGACGTTTTCATAAATAACAATTTCCGCGTTGTATTTTTTTTTTTTTTTTTTATGCGAAATGTAATTAAATCTGCAGATCGCGGAACTCCCGTCAAAAGTACGTGTCGACCGCAATAACAATGTCGCTACAATATAAGACTTAAAAATAAAAATTAGACGACGTTCATCATTTAGTAGTCGAATATTAAATATAGTGCGTACACAAACCAATATTTAAACAAATAAATAAAATTAAAAAGAAAAAATACGCTGAATCGACAGCTTGTCTCGGAAGCAAAACTTATTGCTAGACTTATTATTTATTTTTAATATTTTTATACATTTTTTTTTTATTTAATAAACGAGCGTTGTTATTTATTTTGTCGTCACGAGTCTGTTCGGGAAATAATTTATTTTTATGCGGAATCGTAGATACTTCGTATTCATCCCGGGACAACTGCGTTCGGCGGCGGCGGGAATCTTTTGAAAAGGACGAAGAGAAAACGTGTACAGTGTCTGTACGACCGAGCACAGTGTCTCGGGGTATAAGTATGTAGGTAAGTCAATTCTTTTTCTGTACACGACTTTTGTGAAATCTGCGTATCGTTTTTTTTTTTTTTTTTTAAAACCCGTTGCACTTATACGTAAATGTTCGATATTCGAAAATTGGAATTTAAAAAATATAATGTATATGTATATCGTGTACTCTAAAATATTTATACCGAGACGCGCGCAACGGCGACCGGTGTCCCGACTACATCCTGTACATTGTGTATAGTTATACTTACCTTTCGCGTGTATACATTTGTATGTGAGCGAGCATTCCGAATAATTCCAATCTAGTTTCAAATGTATATATTGTGTGTGTGCGTATATATATATATATATATATATACGGTGTGCGCGTACCTATATATTCAACGGCCGACCTTTCCCGCGGGATCCCTCGAATCGAAACCGTCTCCAAAATCTACGACGACGACGATATTGTATACGTATACGTAGGAATTGATGGCGATAACACCGATGCCCCGCGGCCCTTTAAATCACTCACCCGATCAGGACGTCCGGTATTATTATTGCTATTATTGTTATTATTATTATTATTATTTTTGTTTTTTATATTTTATTTACGATCGCGTATAGTCCGCGGAACACACTTGTCGGAATTTATGGCGAGATTACGGCCCCAGGTATGACCTATGCGTCGTCGACTATATATTTATGTATATAGGTATCTAAAGTTTATGTCGGCGATACACATGTACATTATTATTTATTTATTTTTTTTTTTTTACGGTTTAAATCGAATAAACCACACGATAATACGCGCGCACCGGCCTCGAAACGAAATTCGAAAGTTACGCCGAACGCGGTGTTTTTTTTCTCCTAAAAAAACCTAGAGGGTATACGTTCATTTATGAATTTAAACAACGAATATTGCGATTTGATAAGCCCGAAATTAATCAGATTCAACCATTCAAACAGCCGCGTGTCGGTCGCTTTGCTCGCAAAAAAAACTATTTTCTAAGGCTCTTAACGTTGTATAATATTCACAAATTTGCAAAAACTTTTTTTGTTACCCAGTTGTATAAGCATTTTTATTTATGACCCAAGTATTAAAAACTATTTCAAGGGTCAGATTTAACTTACTTAACAGATTCAATTATTTTAATTCCTTTTTTTTTTTTTTATCCTATAAAATTAGAGCTTGTAAGATTATGAACTCGCACCAACGTCTAGTAAAAAAGCAAAAAAAAAACATAATTTGATATGAAATCCATTACCATTATCTATAAATCTATCTATCAATCTGCATATTAATGCATGATGTAATACGTTATTAGGTTATTCGTTATTACTACTAACTAATAAGTAATAACCAATCTTAATTATATTTTACATTTTATTTTACCTTAATACTTAAAAATAACTGGTAAACGTCATTTAATAATTAATAATCATATAGAATACAGATTGCGTAGGGAAATTTAATTTCGTGTATAGGCTATACACACATTTTTGTTTAAATTTTAAGTTTTACGAGCGTACACGTGCTTGTTTGTACTATTTTTAGAGGGTATAGGTTCGATAATTAACAAAACGGTAAATGTATCCTATACGTCATAAATCCCCTTAAACCCTCCAAAGCACAATTGGCCAAACGGCGGTATCCAGTTGAGCCGAATCAGTATCATAATATTATTGACGACACCATCGTTTTTTTGTCATACGCGATCCAAATGTGTTTTCTTCTCTAACACTAAAAGTATAAAAATAAACAAATCACGAGTCACTGTTGTAAGTGATGTGATCAAACAGAAAACGTAGGATAAAAAATAAGGTAATTTACAGTTGAAACCTCGAAAGCAACGGTACCAAAATGATTGTAAACAATGTACGAAGTGAAACTTGTTCGTTAAACATTTTTGTATTAAATTTAAGTTAAATATTTAATTTTTTCAACTGCAATACAATTTACAATCCTTGTTCGTAATAAAAAATTGTAAAGGGAAAATAATTTCAAATAGTTATAACTCAAAAAGAGCCCCCAACCTTGATGTTAATCGAGTCATCTAGTCGAGTTCGCATTAATAGATACATCGAAAAAAAAAAATTTAAAACCTTCTGCAGAATCTAAAATCCGATTTCAATATGCGTATTGATCACGAAAGTTTAATGCAGATTTTTTAATAAATTTACCGACAATCGAAACGCTTTGTTATAAGCTGATATCAGATATCCGATTAGCCGCAGACATGTTAAGCCGATTTCCGACCGATATTGATATTTGATATTAAAATGTAACCACGAATCATCACAGCCGATTCGGTTGTGACCAGTGTTTTATTTACATAGGTATATTTTTGTTCTTTTTTTTTTAGGGAGATAAAATGAGGTAAAACCTAACCTAACCATCCGAGATTTTAGCTGAGAAAATAATTATTGAATCATTTAGATAAAGCTTTTTAAATCGTAATTTATATATTTATTCGAAATAATAGGTAAAATATTTAATTTGTATTAATATGATTTAACACAAATAATTAATGTGTTTTTTTTTTATCACACAACTTTTTTGAATTTTAGATGTGTACCGAATCTAATATACCTTTACTACTGTTAGCACTCAGTTTTGTGACATGTTATGTGAAGTTGGCTACTCTCCCAACTCAATTGACTTATTAAAAATGGCGTTAAGCAAATGCAAATAATAACAATTACAAATTCTCCAACCACTTGTAGTATAAAATCAATTTCTATTTGGAGGGCAACTTTACACGGCCTCCTTCTATTTGGCCGATCAGCGTCGAACAATTTCCGCAAAATAGAGACACAGATTTCAATGTTCGAAATCCTTTAATAACTTAACGTCGTGATAATCTCTGATTTGGGTTTTTAGCCAAGTCAAAATGTACAAACAAACGCAAATAATCGTTAATTATATTAAAATCAAATGATTACTTTTTCCTTGAACTGTTTCTTAGTGATTGGGAAATACTGGGAAAATGTTCGCAATAACGATTCATATTATTTTTAATTTTTTTTTTTCTGTTTTAATCCATTCCAAAATAATCGTAGAGACCTGTCATTTTTACCAAACACTTATACATTAGTTTTTTGTAGACGTTGTAAAATGTTCAAAACTTTTTGGAAATTTTTGACCTATTTATAAGTTTAATTTTTTTTTCAAGACATTTAAAAACATATTTAAATTAATTTCGCTCTGAACCGTTTTACGTTTGCAATAGTACATTAAATTACCATATACACCTTCTACATTTTCAACTTTTCCCCTTCGACAGTGGCCTATCAATGAGCAATATTCTGTATTTTTTTTTTTTTTTATAGTTTATATTTAAAATGATATCATATTTTATGTAAATGTAATCAATTATTTTTTTCTTACGGCGAACATGAAATTATTATAATATATTTTTTCGAAGTACCTTAAGATAATTTTAATTTAGTATTTTTAACTTCCGTTTTAATACTTTTTGTTAATTTTTAATTTTTTGTAAGTACATAGGCACTGCTGATTATGTATATACCCGTAGAAGTGGTTAAAAAATACCATTCTACTTTTCTTGAAATCGTTTTAATATAATGAGCATAATTGTAATAATGTAAATAAGTTACGGTTTGCCGATTGCATGTGCATGTTATATGGCTGATTGTTATTGTTGTTTTGTTCGACCCAAATTTCGAAGCGAATTTTTCTAAAATAAATCGTACGCCGATCGTCTGTATACTTATACCGCGTTAAACGAGCGACTCACGGGTTAGTATAGGAAATAATAAAAACAAAAATGTTGATGAACTTTATAAAACCATAAAAAAATAACTAGAAAATGCCCAATTGTACTACTTTCATATTAAATAAAATAATGTCTACATCTCCCCTCCAACAGGCAACAGTTTTCTAATGAGTTAGAACAAAACAACAACAAATGTCGATACATCGGGTTTTTTTTTGTTGTTGATTTCAGCGTTACCTTGGTTATGGGGCAAATAAAATTATGACTAGGGATAATAGAGGGATATTTGGCTAATACCTGTGGGATGTAGCCGCTATTAATGGTAACCAAATATTAACACATGCGTGGGTCAGGGTCAGATCAAGCAAGGGGGTTTAGGAGACCGGGGCACCCGTTTCTGAAATATGAAGCCTCCAAAAGTCAATTTAAAAAGTCATGACGCTCTTGCCATATGTTGAGCACCCTGTGTTTAGTAGAAATACGACATTTTCCATCTTTTTCTTCAATCTTTTTATTCAATTCATTTAAGCGATAGAAAAGCCGTAAATATCAATAGGATAAAATATTTTATTTCTAAGTTACACAGGGAACTACACAGATAATTTTAAATTCTCATCATTCAGTGCACACTTTAGTATAACATCAACGAATAATGTCTTGCTGAATTTATGAAATCGGCAGAAAAAAAGCTATTCTGCTTTAAATTCTGATAAAAACTCGGGAATTCACGGATTCTGCGTAGGAAAAATATGTCGCAGAGAATTTAGAAAATCGTCCCACTGGCAGTCATATAACCGTATAGTCACAATATTATAATTTTATTGCATATTGTACACCTCTGCAATATCGTTATAAAAACATATTAACGTTTATATTGTTTAATAAAAGAAATAAAACATTAACATCAATGTTAGCTCTAAAGATTTGTACGGGAGATATTTCGCGGAAAAGATATTTTAACCGTTACTGTTAATGCCCTTCCCATCCTCCCTCAATGAACGCCCGAGTTATGACGATGCATAAAACACCGATAGCCGTTTTATTTGCCGACCGCGTGATATCGGTTAGGTATATTATCGGGTGTATCGACCAAAGGAGCTGATGTTATCTCCAATTCGATTTGTATTCCAATTAAAACGCCGTCGTAGTCGTGAATCGATTACTGAATTGATTATCTGTGTACCGCTTACAGATTCAGATAGGTTTATACTCGGTTTAGTAGACGATTTGGATTTAACACTGTCGTTTCGGTCGCGGCGGATCTTACATTTTATACATAATTCAATATATCACGTCGCCACCGCGGCTCCGTCCGATCCGCCGTTTTGCGGTTTGCCACTTGCAGACTCTGCGGAGTACATTATTATTTCGACCGGCCGATTTCAAATTATAATAATAATAATCGTTGCACAACGTTGCGAGAATATCATTATTATTATTATTATTATTGGGTATAATATAATTATCTCGTCGTAAGGGTTATCTAATATAACACCTATACCACGGTATAAATGCTTCCCTCGCGACTACCACCATAATATATACCGCGGTGTCCGATACGAACGGTGTTATTATCGTATCGGTTTAAAATGCCGCTTTTGTCCGCGCTCGGGCCGCTGCTACTGCTCTTATTCATAATAATAATATACGACTACATCGGCTAAAACATTTATCATTCCGCACCGTTAGCGGGCGCACGTGCGCGTTAAGTACATCTCGACGGATTTTAATCAGTAAATATACGCGCACGCCCACACGTTTTTTCCACGGTTTTCACCCGGCAGCCGAAATTAATCGTCTTTATTACCGCGCTCTAAATTCGCATTTTTACGTACCTGTAAAATAAAAACTCTAATATTACGTGTACACCAATATTATTAAAAATTCGAAATTTGAAATGATACACGCGTGTCGTTTCGTGCGTAATGTATTGAACGTAAAGTTTCGAGAACGCTTGATGATTGCCAATTAGTAATCTCGTACCTACGTAAAACAGACAATATTTAAACGATTTTAAAAGAAAATCCTCTATTAAAATGTCCGTCGGAAATTTAACAAACAAAATGCATTTTATCATTTCGAACTATTATAATATAACGATAAAGAAACGATTATACACCAATTTTACTGTGTTTTTGAGTTAATAAATTTCAATTTTCTCATACATTTTTTGTTGAATTTGCCTATAGACTAAGATTACAATTCAAAAATATAAAGTGACTTTTTATTTTAAATGACAATACGCAATTGGAATAATAACCTTAAAAAAATCGTCAACTACAAATTATCAATTAAAATTTAACATAAATTTGGTTTAGGGACCTGGTCGCTTTTATTTTATTTTTTCAAATAACATTTTTTTTTGTTTTATATGTTTTTTCTAGTCACTTCTAATTTAAGAGAAATAGTAAAAAAAAAAAAAAATCAAAATTTAATGATTGTCAAAAATATTTAAAAATGTGTATATTCGAAGACTATTATATTTAAGTGACGATCGTCATGGTTCGTTGATATTATTCTACCTCACGCTATATATCTCGGTATACAATAAGTGGTTATTCTTAAATAAAAGTGAGTGTTTTGAAGAAATAGTGAGAAAAAGCGTGAAAATTAAAACAATAATAATTTGGAAAAAATGAGAAAAATTGATGCGAGTTGTAGCCTGAATAATTTATATAATTCATTAAGTAAATAAGTATAAACGATTATTATACTGCAATATTAATACCTACGACAATAATTATTATCGGTTTGTGATGGAGAAGATTGCGGTAAGATTGTGAAAATGACAGTCTTGATCCGCAGTGAGACGATGCGCTTATATCGAATTTAATCTCTTTAATATGCAGTGTAATTCTCGTGAACATATCCGCGTCATGTTATACGTAGATTAATAAATTGATTACAAAATAATCTAATATTATAAAAAAACTGAGCGTTTGTGCGCGTGTTTTATGATGAGATGTGACCGAGATACTTGAAAGTATATTGACAATGACGGGGGTCCGGCAAAATCTTGAAAACCGATTTTTGAATTTCGAATTTCCGCGGTAACTAGTAATATATGTTTCTTTTTCGGCCTTTCACTCAGTTCACGAGGGGAAAAAACATATTTAATTATAGAAAGGAAAACGGTTGTTGTATTATTTGGTTGGCGTGGGCAACCAGTACGCTACAGGAGTAATTTCAACAAAACTCAATGCGTGTGTCTGGAAAAAAGTACCGTGGGGATGAGTCACCATTAGCATTTTATTATTAGAGTTGGGAATAAGAACGGAAAAAAAAAAAAATTAAATTGAATTTATTTATTTTTTTATAACATGTAGAGTTTTGGGCTCTAGTATATCAAGGAATTCTCAATGATAGGGGGGGGGAGGTAAACAAGATGACAGAACATTGAGGATGTTTTGCGCATTTTTGCTATAATCCTCGATTAAGATATCCTGTTTATGAGGAGTTTACAGTTGTCTGTGGGATGTTGGGAAAATGAAATATTTAATATACGTATATCCAGGTGATTCATTTAAGTGGATTCATTCATTATCTCGGAAAGTATTAACTTTTTCCGGAATTTATTCTCTAGAACATTTAATAAACAAGCTGGTTCATAATTTCATATTTGTGTTATTTTTGTCACCCTTTTTTTTTGGGGGGGGGGGGGTTAAACAACTACCTACTTTCGATTTTCAATCGGCAACTTATATTAAAAATTCCATAAATAGATGGAGTATTAGTTAAAATAAATTTAAGTGTTGACATCTTTGATTTTCGTTGATCCGTTGATGAAATATTCCACTTTTAAATTTAGGTTGGAGGAGATTAGTGGTGCAATATTAACACGCCGCGCGCCGTACCGCCACACTAATGATACTCCACTATTCCGACCCAAACTTAATTTATATCTATACAGTGGCGGATCCAGGGGGGCACAGGGACACGTGCGCCTCTGTCAATGGACTACTATGTGTGTCCCCTTTTAAAAAATGTTTAGACCCACCTCTGTATCTACATACAACGATAATGCATCACAACGAAAAATGTTTCTAATCGAAGTTCGGTTAATTACGTTTTGAAAAATTTAATGAACTGAAGATGACATTGATTTTTATCTAACAACAAAACAAATTACAACTGTCCGACTGTCCGTGTTTTTTTTCCTAAAATTTTGGAGCATTTTTATGAAATTAAAAGTTTTATCCAGATTAACCAGAAAATAATAAGCACAGCCGTAGTTTTACGATTTTAATCAAAATTTTAGTATTATAAACTATTATTAAAAAAAAAATTGTGATTATCGCCGGATTTCGTAATTTTTATGGTACTATATGAACACTTCATAATGAATCTTATTGTGTTATATTTTTGAAAAACGTAAAAAATTTTATCTAGATAAAACCAAATAAAAACGAAAATATTAAATAACTTTAAATAGCTCAAAATTACACGGCATCTAGAAAGTGCTGATATAGGTATTCAGTGAAAATTACAGTGCTCTTAGATTAAGGAAAATCAGTAAAAGACGTTCTCAATGCACCGACTTGACAAAATTGTCTATAAAAAAGTTCTGATGAGTGATAAACTATAGGTGTGACGAAGTCTTCATGACAGGGTAAGTCAACCAAAGTTGTTAAAAACTTTCTCATATTGTATGAACAACTAAAGGACTAATGAAGCCGTACCTCAAAAATTAATGATGCTTTTGTATATTATTATGTCAATGATTATTATCGTTTATTTTCGATATGATATGCGTTTATATTTTCAGAAATAAACGCTCTTACAGGAATATTAATTGATTTAAATTTAATTTATCGGTTAATTAAATAATAATACTTGATGTATAACAACGTGCACAGACACGTGTCATTTCGCGTCGAATTAATTATCGACTTTTCATAAAGTTGTAATACACACTTGAAAGTTTTTACTCAAAGTAAATATTTCGAAAACTATTTTACACAAAACGTGTGAACTGTGGAAAATAATTAGCTATACACCTAGACGATGACTTATTGAATTTTTATAGGTATACTTCAGTTTTTACATAAAGATTCTTATTCTTGATGGTTTGTAGCTCAATTACGTTTATCTCTTTTCTTTTCTTTTATAAACACATTAGCAAAAAAAAAAACTGTCTCGGCATTATTGTGTGTTGAAACTTCTCTCTGTGTTATTTTGGTAAAAAAATTAAAAGTTTGACAAGACCCAAATACTATAACATTGCTGCAGGAAGTACAAAAATGTATTGGTTCTTTTTTGGTTGATTTTGTCTATATACTGTGTGATGGCTTTAAAAATAGCATTGTTAAGTTATGATAGTGTCTCAGATTTTATAACGTTAAAAAGTTTCAAGTATAATATGTAACTTTTTTTACCTCAATAAATTCGAAATACGCACTTTTAAAAAAAAAAAATAATAATTTTACATTATTTATGTTTTTTAGTTAAAAATATCGTCTTAAATAAAAAACAAGGTTTATAACCTTGTAATCTACTTAAACGTAAAAGGTACCTATGTGTCAAAGAATCATATACACATGAATTTTAATTTACATTTACTAGGTTCTAATTTTAAATTTTACGTGTCTGTTGTTTTATATGTCTATCGTCTGGTTGCAAAACAAAAGAAAATACATAAATATATATATATATGCGTGTATTAGAGTTTGTTAATTTAATAAGTATTTTTTTTATTGGACGTGACTCGCGACTATTATAAAGAAGCTGATGTAGAAATAGTAAATAGATAATAAATATAGTAAAAATCAAACTTTACCCAGTTGCTATATTATACATATATTCATATTGTATGAAAATTCACCCCGGATGAATATTGCAAAAAAAAAAAAACACACGTCAGAATTATCTTACGTATGAATGTATCTTACGTGATACATGCCTTTTACTTTAATCTCAAGCAAGAATGTGAAAATACAGGGTGTAGTGTAATAATAGACTAGTTCGTACTATATTTCTAAGATAAATCCTACAAAATTGGTACAAGTTATAACAGAAATCTTAGTATATGTGTTTCTGATAGATGAAAAGTTTCTATTCATATCTTGTACAGGTTTGTTAGAATTCACCTTAAAAATGCGAGAGTTCATTACGCCACACTCTGTATAATATACGAATGAATATTTTAAATCATATTCAGAATTTGTTTAGGGAAAAAAAACAAGTAAAACCGTCGATGACGACGACGACGCCACAATATTATGTTTCGACGACCAATTTAAAATAATATTTAATTGGATATGTGTGACCGCGGACAAAGAAAATCTTTATTTCACGCTTAACTAATAACATGATGATACTGTTTTGCTCCGCACGTGTGGCGAAAAAAATCCACACGAGCGGTGACGTGGGTTAAAAATAACAAAAATAAAAGGTGCATTGGCGTGCGCGCGGGTGCAGCACATGCAGCTTAGGCTGCATCTGCTTTTTCTGTGACGCCAAATTTTTTTTTTTGTTTTTCTGCTTGTTCGTGATACTATTATACCCACTCTATGTTTAAAATTAAAACCGTGATAAAAGTTTACGGTGATATAAATAGATAATGATGGATAAACAATGTTGTGTTATGTAATAATCTAAGACCGTGTTCCAGTATTTGGTACTTTTAAAATCGAATACAACATCAAACGATTTGTACCATAGATAATACCATATATTTGTACTTCATCTACAACTTTTATGCAATATAAGTTATCAGCTGCTAAGATAATTGAATATTAACGAATGCCGGACAATAATAATTGATTTTCACTAAGTACTTTTTTCTTTTTGTTCAAAGTTATATTTAATTATTTTTAATTTATTAAATAATGAGTGAAAAACGAAAAAAAATAAATAGTTTAAAAATCCACGATTGAAACTTTAATTGGATTAAAGTGCATGGAATTAGTTAACGCTGAATAAATGTTTAATATGCTAACTTCTATGTTGCAACAATTTTCTAAAGACTGGTCTACGCTCTTAGCTGTTCTTTTCCACTACTTTTCCATAATTTGTAGAAAAAATATACATACATGTATATAATAATTTTTTTTGTGGTAGTTTTAAATACGAGTTTGTTTAAGAAAAAACAGTAAACTAATTATGTACTTTAACTAAATTCAAATAAAAACAAATAAATTTTTCCTAAAAAACATAGACCAGAAATCAAAGAATTCAAATAGCTATATTTGAGGAATGCATTTTTTCTTGTTCTACACGCGAAATAGACAAACAAAACAATTAATGTTGGTGTCGAAGCAATTTAAATTTCTAGACGTTGTATTATATTTTTAAAAATATCGAAATACAGTAAAAGTTGCTCTTATTCGCTAAACAAAATGCGATAAAAAAAGTTCCGGATCTGTTTAAATTGCATGCCAATGGAACATCGACAAGTAGTTATAGGATCACATGCTTTGTGACTTCTCCTAAGCATGTTTGTTTTTGTAGATTCTCTATAACCTTCTTAGTTTTTTTTAAATCCGATGTTTTTGTAAAACATGTTTTTCGTTTGTTGGTAATTTGATATATTGTATAGAACAAACCTAGGAAATTAGAAAATATTATTAATAAAGCAATACGTACATTAGTGACGATTTATTTTGTAGACATTTATTTTTTTTTTATGTGCAGTTATGTTTCCTCATAACTAATAATTTGCTGTTTTTTTTTTTTTTTTTTTGAAAATATTACCCGAATCCGAATGAGAAACGAAGGATTTAATAAAAATAATATATAGTCGGTATCATATTCTAACCATGTAGATAAATTTTGATAATAATAAATAAAAAAAAAAAAACCAAAAAACAAAGGGCAAAAAATTGTTTTAATAAATAATAATCATATATTATATTAAAAAAATGACAAATTTACTTATCTACGCTTCTCAATATGTCATTAAGTAAATTTAACAATAATAATATTATAATTCAGACTATTTCTGTACAATTGGTACAATTGTTCTTTCAGTTCTTTGGTTCCACAATTATAAATACTAGATATATACTTTTTTAAGGGACGTTCAGTTTTTCGAACTGCAGTTTATTAGTTTCATGGCAAAGTCATTAATTTTATACAGTGATGCGTTTTTTTAGTTCTCGTATATATATATACCATATAAATATAAAACACCTATTCGGGCAGTGAAAACGATAAAAAAAAGTCGTATCTATCCCGTAATTTTATACATATATATATATAATTGAATACGATTGGTAGGTACTTAATAAAAAAAAAAGGTCACATTTCGAATTTCTCAATTGCAGTTTCCTGAAAATTACCTACCTACAAAAAATGAAAAACGGCGAACAAAAATACGAGCGAGTTATAGGATATTTATTTCTTAAATCGTTTTTTTTTTTTTTGGAGGGGGATGCGATGATTTATCGTTGATTTTATTTTTTTAAATAATTAAATACCTATATTGAACTAGCTGTCTTTAATAAAGACGAAAAGTAGGTACTTAAAATACTCTCTTTTCGTGTTAACTCCATTAACGGTTGCAAAATAAAGTAGCATTCATTAAAAATAGAATTGTTTTTTCTTCTTTTCTTTCCCCTTCATCCAATCTTTTGGGGTCAGCAACCCACGTTCTAAATTTCCTTCTGACCAGATTTCCGACCTCACATACACCGGGGTTATCCTTATATCATTCTCAATTGCACCCAACCATATCTTTTTATGTCTTCCTCTCTTCCTGCGTTTATTTTCATTACATTACTTACTGCCTCAGATTCCTCTCTCCTCGTGACATGCTCAAACCATCTCAGTCTATCAATCTCCTCACATGGTAGGCTGTTTGGAAAAATAATAAGTAGTTTGCAAACGAGCTACCTCAGTGCAAATTTACCATATGGTCTACGACAGATTTAGCATATATAGTTATGATGATAACTATGCACATATAATTATTATTTTTAAGTAAAAAATATTTTATTGTATTGACAAAATAAACATGTTTGTAATTATTTATTAGGAATTAAATATGGTATACCTTTTCACATTTCTTACAGAACGTCCTTCTATCATATTTGTATCTAAAGGCTAATTAGACTAATTATTATAGACTTAATGATGTAAATGTAAAATATGGTCTCTATGGAAAAATGTGGTTCGGTGGGGCGTGTAATTAATTTGAAGTATTTTATGTCTTATTTCCAGGAATAAAAGAACTTAAAGTGTAAGCAATAAATTGGGACATCATTATAGTGAGCTTATTAAGTGGTTTAAAATTATTTTATTTGGACTTTTAACTTACGATGTGCCGGCGACTCATCTCGGCCATTTTACCGAGATAATATAAGATTAGATAATAATTATTTATTGGAGAGAAAACATTTGGCGTGAATTTAGTTTATTGCGCAACCCTTATCGTTTTATTTGCTCACAAGCAGGGTAGATCGCAGATGATTATATATATTTGTATGTTTTCATTAATTGTTGAATAAACTAGTTTATACCAAAATATGTTTTATTATCGAACGATTCTCTAATATACGAAATTGTACTACACACATTTTGAAAATTTTTTTAATTTTTATGGTATATTTTGGTATTGTTAGTGCATATAGTTATATTTTAAGGTCTTTAAAACACATAAATATCTACCTTATTTATACGTTAAGACGTAAATGTTGGTTAATAAGAACAAAAATTTAAAAAGTAAAAAAAAAGTGGACGATTTCGTTTTTGTTCCACCTGAACAGTTTGAAATTTTTAAAATGTATCATTTATGACCCTTTGCCTTTCCATCATAGATTGGATAGATATATAAATTACATTACTCCATGTCCTATGCCTTCCCAAAATCCCACCTACAACAGTGGCCTACTTATATAGTAATAAATACAAGTACCTACTATGTCTGGCAATTTATTATATTTTTTTGTTTAATTAATAAATTAAAAAGACGTCTTAGGTGCAGCCACTGTTATAGGTAATTTAATGTAAATTATAAGCAACGATAAACCATTGCTAACGAAAAAACGAATCTACAATAAGAGGAGTTCAATTGATGGTGATGATTTGTTAACAATATATATATATCATATTAGACTAAACAAAATAAATAGGCATTAAATATTTTCTTTATTAATATTTGTTTGATATATCGATTTTCCCGTTCTTCCCTACGTTTTTCCCATGTTTTTTCACGGTTTTTCTAATTTGTTGAAAACACTTCTGGAGAAATCGAAAAATGGCCTCCTTAAAGTACCTCTCCAGTTCGATTTCCTTTTAGAAAAGGTGCTACACCTAAAAATCGGAGCAAGATTCTGGTAGAAAAGTTGGGTAAAGATAAAAAAAAAATAAAAACAAAAATAAACATCTTTGTGA